AAAAAGAATTTGAGGTTATCTTCTCACGTCCCTTTCATGTTAAATTGAGATTGTGTCTTGAACGCTTTCCAAAGATTAGTACTGTACTGAATTATGATAATTAGAAAACTGTGTGCATAAAAAGCAGTGCAACTGGTGCATTTTTTAAAAGAATAGTTCACTGCACAGGATATAAGTTCAGTTTGTTTTCACATAATTAACATTTCCCAACATTAATAGCACTTTTTAGTTTATGTCCAATAAAAACAAAAGCTTTTCTCACTTTTTAAGATTCCAAAGAATATAATTTTAATCACTTTAGTAATAATGCTTTGCTTTTGGTCCTGAAAATATTTTGGACTTCCAGATTTTTTTCTATCAAAAGAATAAAAAGAACAGAGGTGTCACTTTGCAAAAAATATTAGAAGCCTTTGTATCTAGTGCTGCAGCAAATCAGATTAGCACATGGAAAAAGCCAGAACTGTGGGGACACATGGATTTGTAAAGCAGAGGGGAGAAATGGACATATTATTGAAATAAAGGGTGAAGCAAAAAATAAAAAATCAGAGGTGCTCTACTTTATTTAGCTAGATACAAAAGAAAATAGGCAAGCTTTAAGCAACTTTACCATAATATTTGTTTTGAGGAGCTTTGATTTCTCATCAAAACCCATCTTTCCAGTAAAATCTACTTCTTGGATTGCAATCTTATATTTACTAATCTGAGAGTAAGCTGCACACTGAATTCAGTAGGACTTCCTTCTGAACAGACTTGTATAAGATTGCCCAGTTAACCTTTTACACCACTTCTTCAACTAAAACAAAACTTAAGTACCTGGGTATACAATACTGCATTGCTCACATTAGCTTGTTACCTTTTCCCCGTTTCCCTATTTCCTCCCTCCCCACTTTGCCATCTCTTTCACTGTCAAAATGTAGGATGAAAGCAGCTTAGGGCAGACACCTGTCCTTCCCTCATGTGTTATCCATTTTAATGCAATGTGCATGTAATAAATAACCAATAATTTCTGTTAAATTAAGCCATAAATTTGTGAACATCCACTTTCAACAAACAGGCAAAGAAAAAAAAACAAGTTTCCTTGGGACAAAGAAACACTTCCTATGACAGCTGCATAAATTACAACCAACACCAAATAATATGTCTGTGATCTTAAAGGCAGTGAATAAGATCCTCTAGGCGTATGTCTGTTTTACACACAAAGATTATTTTTGGTACAGATTTAGGATTCTAAATCCTATCAAAATTAATTGAGGATTTGGAAACTCTAGCATGTGCAATATGCCTTTGTTAAAATTCCCAGGCTAAGTTTTTCCATTCCGTTCGGTACAACAGTACAAGTTTCTCATATCCCTACACTACAGTCCCACTGCACCCGCTAATCACTGCCAGAACAGTGCATGCCAATGGTTGTGTCAGTCCAACATCACTAGCAATGAAGAGACATCACATCTCTAGACTGGCAGAAATAACTATGGGGCTCCAGAATATAAGCATGAGGTTGTTGTGGTCTGGTTCTCTTACAATCCAAAATTAAACTTCACAATCATAACAACATAAAATTGACACTGTTCTGGAAACTGACAGCACTTGCTCTTCTTCGAGGAAACTGCATAAACATGCATGAACAAGTGAAAGCATTTATTTAGACTTTTGCACCATGTCAAACAAGGGTGAACTTCACACAGAAGCAGATATTCATATGTGCACACATGTGTATCCCCATCTGCTCTTCCCATCCCACTGAACTGTTGGATGAGTCTTTTGATGCGAATGTGATTATATGGATATTGACAGCAACTGGTTGTTGCGCATGACTAAAGCATTAGGACCTTGATATTTAACTGTGAGGACACAATGAGCACTATCATTAATCTTTTAAGGGACATATATTATTGTCACATTTCTAAACATAGCATAGTTTGGAATTTCTACAATGTAGTATGACTATACGTCCAAATAAAACAGCTAAGGCTTTCCCCCAGTTACTTGATTTACTCCCAAATATCAGTTACAGGAATAGTCCTCAAGTCCTTCTGGCAATGTAAGACCCAAACATTCAGGATGCCTCTCACTGTAAAATGGTCTATTTTGAAATAGGAACTGACAATTATTTAAAGCTTAAATAATTTTCAGAAAGACAGAAACTAATTACTTCTTTGCAAAGCAATGTAATTGTGACAGTACCTGGAAGTATACATCAGAGTAATCATAACAAGTTCTCATTTACTCTTGTAGAAATTAGGATCCCCTTAAGAAACAGTTTCCCCTTGCTGCTCTCAGTTACAGTAGCATAAATCCCTTTATAAGTCCATAGAGATGCAAAATATAGGAATTAATTTCCTCTAAAACCCATGGTGCTTGAGGGACAGCCATCCAGGCTGCACAATACAGATTGGAATACATTTAGTGACATTCTTGTTCCCCAGCAAGCCACAAATCCTACAATCTCATGTACATAAACATCATAAAGCTCAAAACAGCAAAGTTTTGATCACATGATCATCCTCACACACTGTTTTAACACAAATACCCTGATGTAACCAGTATTTAAATCCTAAACTTATGAAGCTGTTTTAAGAAATAAGACACTAGGTTCTAACATTTGAAATACAGTATGAAACACAGCATGCCTGAAAGATTGCTGAATTATAAACATACCACGTCTTTTAAACAAGTACATATCTTATGTTTATTCCAGTGTCATGCAGAATCCAAACTGTGTACAAAGCTCTACATTATCAAACCATTTGAAATAAAGACAATTATTTCTACAGAAAACACAGACTACACCTTTTTCACTAATTAAGATTATGGTTTAGCAATTACATTTTGCTGTAAAACAAAAAGAGTATTTCTACCCTTCAACTTTGCATTTTGGCCCTAGTAAACACTAGAGCAACCCTGCTCTTGAATAGCTGGATTATTGATAGCAGTCCCTTGCTGCTTTACAACCTGTAGAAACCATCAAACTTTAAAAAAATACACAGAGAGAGTTTAGTTGTTGAAATGTTAAGGATAGAATTACATATTTCACAGCTTAGCATTTTCTACTTTCAAGTAGCTGAGCTTAAGCTTCCTTATCAAGAGAAACCACCACAACAAACTGCATCTCTTCCCAAATCTAGATCAGCATCTAGGCAAAAAGGTGAGCGTGTGCGTGAGTGTGGTGGGCAGGGGGCGGGATGCTACTTTAATTCTTCAAAATATCTTTCCAGTCACACACACATTCTTCAAACAGCAAAAGTATTTCAGCTGGAATATTCTAAGAACCCAGTACTCAGTGGTGCTAGGACTGTTCTTTTCCACTGTTTACTAAACTTCATTAAAGTTGATGCTGTTCTGCCAAAAAGCTCATATAAAACCAATGTTTCACTCCAGTTTCCTTGTGATAAGTTTAGTGGGCACATTCCAGGCTTTGGTACTGAATATAATAAGACATTTCTAACATGTGATGTGGTGCAATTGCTTTTCTTAGAATTATACGTCTTCAACAAAGCTGGACATCTAAATATTATTTTTTAACTCTACGCGACCATAACATCCACTGTCCCATTATTACTTTTCCTTATTCCACATGAAGAAAATAAAAAATCATTACAGCAGTCAAAAACATGTTACTAAAGATACCAGGTATGTGATACCCCTGTGTATACATCCAGACATTTAAGGCCACAGTACTCCCAAGTGACATGTTTTATTAACAAATCAGCACTGTCCAAGCATGCAATTAAAAAAAAATCCAAAATGAATTGTGAAAAGTCGTTTAAATGCCAACAGAATCCATCCAAAAATGCAACACCATGAAGTCAGTTATAAAATTCAGGCAGGCCTTTAGAGCTTCATTTTCATCTTCTGAAGTGAGATACGAATACTCAACATTCCATTTGAAAAATAGGTATGTGATGTGTATGTGCATACAGAGAAATTAGGCATTGTCCTCTGAATTATCTGGAATCCCTTTAGCGTGCTCCATCATTGCAGTCTAATGTCCTTGCAGTGGTATCCCCAACTATTTATAGAGATAGCAATACACTATGTACCCAAGGGCAACCATTCCAAATTTAGTAAAACATTTTTTGAAAAACTTGCACAATATAAGAACATATCTATAGTTACTATTCATGTTTTTCCCACTGCATTGTAGATAAAAGGAAAACTATTGTGTATTCAAGCTGCACTAAGATTTACACACCGAGGTAAAATATATGCTATATTCAAAGAATGGGAAATATATTATTTTAAAACTGCCATTCATCCTGATATATATTCACATGTAACTTGAAAAGCTCCAGCTAAGGATGCAATATTTCCTCAACTTTTTTCCTTCACATGCAAAAAAAATGTTAGGTGCTACTGCTAAGAGCTGCCTGGATGACTTTTTTCTATGGACCATCTTCAGTCAGAATCTGCATTTATCATCTTCTATGTCACAGAGTTAAACACAAAATGTTTTGGCTTTAAAATCCAGGAAATACTTGACAATGAACAGATTACCATACTGTCATATGGCCATTTGCAATAAGAAAATAAGGAACATACCTGCTCCCTAACTTTTGAGACATTTATTGAAGTCACTTTTCATTTCACCAAATCAGAAGCAGATACTTGTTTCTAATCACTTAACAACTCCCCTGAGAAACTCAGGTGACTGGCCTTTCCTTGTTTCATAAATATTTTTATACAGTGACACCCTTCAACATTAAAGAAATCCATTAAATCAAGTCCAGGATCACATTTTTGCAAAGGCTAGAAACTGACTTTGACTACTGGAATAACATGGAGATTTCTCCTCTGCTTCTTGTGTCGTTCTGGATTTTGCTAAACTCATTCCTTCCTCCAACTCCACCATGTAAGTGGACCTCTTTTCTTTGAAAGTGTAAATTCTGTGAACAAAGACTACTACTCGCCCCTGGGCAGGAGAACTACTATCGGTTTAAGGGGTGGGTGTACAAAATCCCTTTAAAAGGGGATGGGGAAATAAATAATCCTAGGGTTCCTACCGAAAGGAAGTTTTCCAGGGACAATATCCTCGTTTTGTTGGAACTGCGACTTTTTTGGATGCAATGTTTCTGCTGACTCCGGAAAATTTTCCACTTGAATGTGCAATTAACCAGCAGTAACAGCAACAGCAGCTCTGGAGAAGGCAAAGAAGCAGCGAAAGAGAACATTCCTTCTTTCATCTTGGGGGGGGGGGGGGTGAAGTAAAAACAGGGAAGGGGGCGGGAAAGAGAAAAGCAAAAACTCAACGCTCGAAAAGCCGGTCAAATCTCAGATCCAGACACTTTCCAAAGCTCGGCACAAGGAAGAGAAACTCGAGGGATAGGATCATTTTACTTTGCAAGGCCTGATCCGCTCCCAACTTTATTCCTTCTTGGCGAAAAATGTGAAAAATGCCAAAGATTTGTGTGTGCGCGCGAGAGCGTGTGTGTCTGTGTGTGTGCGCGCGCGCGCGCCAGGCTGCAAAGCAGTGACTCAGGCAACTAAATTAAAGCAACAACAGCAATAAGGAGCAGAGAGGGAGAGAGAGGAACGGCCGCCTGTTGCAGCTCTGGCTAAACCCCAAAGCAGCCCAAACTCCACTGGAGACAACTTCCCCACCCCTCCGTCTCCCAAGGATACTTTCCTTATTTTCCCTTCCCCCCCCCGTTTCAACTCACCTCCCCAGATCACCTGCGGAGATTGAGAAAGGGGGGCCATGAAGGAACGAGAGGGGAGCAGTCGACATGATTCCTCCCAAGTAAATAACAGAGGACAGGCCGCCCCCCCCTCCTTTCCCTGCTACACAAAGCAGAGAGAAATGTGCAGAGAAGCAGCTCCCTCCAGCAACCAGCACGCACACACACGCACGCACAAAACTTACCTCCACTCCACTCCCCACCTTTGCAAACACCACCAGTCTTTTTGCAATTCAATTGCAAACTTCTTCCAGCTTTCCCTGGGGACTCTGCTTGCTTAATTTCTAAGCTTGGTGTTTTGCTTGTTGTTATTGTTGTTGTTGTTGTTTAAAAATTATATAATCATAATAATTATAATAATTATATATATATATTTCCTAGTGAGTGTGTGTGCCTGGGCTCTACAGCTTGTTGGCTTGCGGGATTATTGAAGCCCTTCAAGTGATTAGTTACTGCCCCCAAACCGGTGGTGGCAGGGCGGGCTGGGCTTTCGAATGGGCTTGTGCGGCGCGAGCGATGCTAAGAATGTTCGGAATGAGAAGAGGAATGAAATGAACGCGAGGAGCGGACTCTCTACAGGGGAGGCGGAGCCACGGCCCGCCACAGCCAGGGGATGCAGAGGGGAGGAGCCGGGGAGCAGCTGGTGACCTCATAGGAAAGTCCAGGGGCGGAGGGAGGGAGCCGATCCAGAGGGGAGGGGGAGGAGTTCTGGAGGGAGATCGGATCACATGGGGCGGGTGGAGGAGGCCGGAGGAGGAGGAAGAGGGGGGTGGAGAGGTCACGGAGAGCCACCACCTGAGTATCAGCCGCAGTGCAAGAGCTCGTCTCTTGAAATGGGATCCTGCTCACATGCCGAGGCACAATCGGGAAGGCGGAGCTGAGGTTGCTTTGCAGAAAGAGAGCGAGGGCGAGAGAGATCACTCCAGCTGCGACTCCCGTTGGGGGATGCAGGCAACAGAGTGAGGATTTCAGCGCCCTGGGGAGAGAGAAGGCTGATGCAAACTTTCTGGGGCTGGCTTTGTGCGCGCTTCTGAGAGCTGGAATCTATCCTTACCGCAGGAAATTGGAGAGAAGGAAGGAAGGAAGGAAACCGGCCAATTCACTTTTTAATAGTATAAAGATTAGGAACATTTGAAAAAAGTAGTCCTTCACATGCGAAGCCAGCTCCTTCCCGTGAAATACAAATAAATATAGGATTCCAGTGATCTGGATTAATAAGAAGTTGGTGTGCTTGTTTAATTCAAGTGTGCAAACTCACAACAGCTCTTGTTGCAAGATTTCATGTTGTCTGTTTTCTCATCCTTTCGAAATCAGTGTGATTTCCCACTTCCACAAATGCGATCCCTGGAGAATTATGGCAAGAGACTGTCTTCGGCTGTTAACTATTTCAGTTCCACATGGAAAAAGAGAGAAAGTTGCATAGAGGGCAAGCATTTTATGGTTTAGGCATTTATGTGGAGAAAAGCTTTTGGCAAGATCATGATATTTGTATCCATGGGACACCCACCATCATGTGCTCTTTTGTAACTATTTGGCACTGAATACAACACTGAAAATAATCCTCTCCTTTTCAATCATATATGTTGCATTGCTAATATACTCTGAAGGCAGGATGTGCTGGAATGACCATACATAAAACTATAACTTAACAGAATCACTGTCATTGTACTTAGGGAATTGCTACAGCACACAAGATAGCGATCAGCTTTTGCTGCCACAGGATGCTGCTCAGGGAGAAATGGAAAGGGCAACATTAGACAAGATCAAACTCACTCCTCTGCCAAAGCGCTAATATAAGAAATGTGCATCTGGGAAGTGCCAGTCTTGGGAGTGCTTCCCGGGTAAAGGAGCACAGCGTAAAACAGACCTAGTCTGTCTTCATTTTCTGAAACCCACTTAGAGAGCTGACTCTACATTCATTCTTACCATAGGTTCTGTCATTCTGTTGCTCCAGCTTCTCCTTTGAACCTGCCTTCTGTTTCCCATCTGCTGGGCCATCAGTGTACTGCTTATGTTACAGCCTGTGGTCAGTGGTGTGCCCTATAACTTCACTCTACCTCTTCTTCGCTCTTGTTTTGCAAATCTACCCTTCCTGGTTTCCTGCTAGTGCCATCGTAGCTTTTATCCTGGTACAGCTTTGCATATCATGGCCACCTGTAAAAAAAACATAGCCTCAAAGTTATAATCATAGTAGCAATGGAAGTTGTGTGTCGCTCTGAAGTGCCTTCAACTCAGTTCAGCTTCTATTAACCTCCATTCTACAGACAGCCTCTATTTTTATCTCCCCCTCCACACACAATTCTTCTTCAACTAATATGCAACATGCAACTGTGGGTTACATCAGCCTTCCAGACATGTCTGGAAGGCACAAGGTCCAAACATGTTTGGACTGCAACACCCAGAATTCCCAGTCAATGGCCCCACTAGATGGGCATTCTGGGAGTTGCTGTCCAAATGCCTCTGAAGGCCACAAGGTTGGGGAAAACTAGCTTACATCATTTTTTTGTTCACTCTGACTTTCAGAGCAAGAGGGCTGCCCCATGCTATGACACTGTTGGTTTCTTTAGTACAAGGTGGCTTGTAACTCATCTTCTTCTTGATGTATTTGAACTGTGGCAGTGAGAAGTTCAGATAAAGCTTTTTAAAAGTCAGGTAATAGAGAATGGAAATAGAGACTATCATGCAGCAGAAAATGTGCAAACCTAAGAGAAGCTCACATGCAAGGCAAGGTAAAAGAGCAAGGCTAGAGGAAAGAATAGAGTCTGATTTATGAGGAAGAACAAAAGAGAGAGGAATATAGAAGATGACCAAATGACAATAGCAGTAAGGGAACCTTTGCCTCTTTTCTCCTCCAATCATGCATATGCTTGTCAAGGAACAATGTCAGGAAAGTATGCCCTGCCCCTCACATACCATTAGGATTCGTACTGCTGGTAACAAATGAGACTGACAGCTGAGACTGACAGCTGACACTGTCCCATCAAGGTTACGCATGATGTGACACAGTGGCACTTCATTGTGCAGGTGGACCTACCATTAGTGTGTCTCTCAATGCTATAATGATGGTACAGAAATGGTTAGTAAAGAGTGCTGGGTCAATCTGGAAAAGGAAGGGAAATTAACCAATAAAATAAATAGGCTGAGCTTCCTGTGGTTCATGTGTTCCACTGAAGGAAAAGCTCTGTAAACACTGCTGTGCTGCTAACGTACTACTGCAACTGGAGGATGAAGTGCTGCATACCACCGGGAAGCAAAATGGTGCTTTGAGCGAGCATCTTCATACAGCATCAGCCAAGGGAGTGGAATATTGGGGCACAGCGCAAAAGCGGGAGGAAGGGTACCCAAACAAGCACAGTGCACAAAACAATGGAGGGCAGCCTCCTCGCCTCGCCTCTGATGATGGATTGGCTAAAGGCTAACAAGCTGAAACTGCATCCTGGCAAAACTGGAAAGCTGATCTGGGAAAAGAAGCTGGGCTTGTGTTGGATGTCCCCTTGAAAACCCAGGATTGGAGCTTCAGCTAGAATTGTCCTTGAATACTCTGATTTCAGCAATGGCAAGGACTGCTTTGGCCTAATCAAGACTAGTACACTCTTCCCATTCCTGAACAAACCCAATCTGGCAAGGCCAAAATGTTCATTACTTACTGTCCTACAGGATCAGCCAGTACACAAAATTTAAACAGAGACCAAGATCAGGGAGGGGCAGTGACTCAGTTGCAAAGCACATGCCTTGCATACGGAAGACCCAAATAACATTTTGCGCATCTCTGGATAATGCAGAAAACTGCGAGGGGCTGCTGGCACTCCGTATTGAAAATACTGGGCTTCATGAACCAGCGGTCTGACTCTGCCTGAAGTAACTTCCTACCTTTCTATCAAAGCTGTAAGAATAGTTCAACTTTCACTAGTGGAGAGAGCTTTCTCCACTAGTGGGGTCATTAAGTGAAGTAAAACCCATGGACAAGTTCCCATGTAGCAACAAGGCATGGTGGAAACCACACAAGCATAGCTTGCCATTACATCTGAACCCAGCATCCATGATAAAGCACTGCACCTTTCGTTTCCTGGAAACCACACAGAGAAACAACAGATTGTTGAAAGGTGTCTGTGCTTCACCATGGCTGGTTTTGCACCCAGTTTTCTACATACAGTAGTTCCATGTTTCCGCCATAGAGTTTGGTGGCAAGAGCAGCTGCAGCAGACATTCCTGCCTGTGCTCGTCACTGTCCAAATCTGCCAGTAGCAGCACAGTGAGTGGCTGCTCTGCACTCCCTTTCTTCCATCACTGCTCACAGTTTCTGATGCCCTGCCAAGGCCATGGGACCTCACCAGCAGTGGGCCATCGTTTCCTGCTGCCTCCAGCAGGAGTGACTCTGGGAACGGCTGTGCCTGGCACTCCTTTCCAGTCTCTGTACTGCACTGCAGCGATGCACACTGCCCTTGTGTGACAAGCCCTTCTCCTACTAGAGAAGCCCTTCGCCTACCAGGGAAGCTGTCCTGCACGTGCGGAGCACATGGACAGGGCATGGAACATCACCAACAGGGCAAGTATCTCAAGGAGCCCAGGTCTCCCACGCTGTTTCCTGCTCTCTCCTTTCTTCCATCTTGTCCCTGACAATCCTTGGGACTTTCAGGAAGCCCCACTACCCCCCGCCCAACCCAGGATAGCTGCAGGACAAACACTGGCCTAGCAGACTCCCAGAGAACTTTTCTGGGCAGTTGCCCAGATGGGAACCCTCAAGAAAGTCGGCCTGGCAGGACATGCACCCTCCATCCCTTCCACTGATCCCTGTGCTGATGTCCTCCAGGTACTTGGCTGCACATGGGGAGCCAGCCTTTGCATGGGGGAGGGTGGACACATGTGCAGGGGAGTGAGCAGAAGGCTGTGTGCAGGTGGGCGGCACTCCTGCGGTGATGCTCCAGAGTAATACTGCTACTCTAGTGAGCAAGCAGGTGGTTCACGGAGCAGCAGCAAACAAAAAGCAGTAAAAGGTTGCTGGCTGAAGCCATGCTGAGGGGAGCATGTGGGCCAGTGAGGGAGCGAGAGGTAGGTGATGCAGGCAAGGAGTGAGGCATGCTGGGATTGATGTTGAGCTGCACAGATGGGTGGGATACATGCCACCTTTTGGAGGGAAGAAAGAGAAGCATGGAAAGCATGCATGTGTGGATACTATGTGTGCCTGTCTGAACTTGGGACACATACCATGCCACAGTTACCATGTGGCATGGCTTAGCGTTATGTGTGAATGCATCCAATCTAAGAAACGAACTTGCTAGGTAGGAGTCACAAACATGGGCCGTCCACCAATCAACTGGGTAGGCAGAACATGGAGTTGGTGAAAGATGTTCCACCAACTGAAAGATCAAACCTGACAGTTTATGAGGCCCGGTGTTCAGAACCCCCATCTAGACTCAGCTGACAGTCATTTGTTCAGTCCTCCCCGTTTCTTGTAAGGAGTCGACCACATGCCTCTTGAAGAGCCTTCTTACATCCAGAAAGCCCAGTGGAC